AAAAAAAAATTATTATCAGTATAGGTGTGTGTGTGTGCACGCGTGTGTATGCGCGTATATGTATGTGTGTATATACGTGTATGTGTATACGTGTGTCTCTCTGTGTATATGTGTGCACATATACATACATGTATATGTATGTGCGTGCATATGTGTATGCATATGTATATACATGTGTGTGTATGCATATATTCAGTAAGTATCAAGGACTTACCTGGATACTTGGGTATCATGGCATCTGCCAGGGTGCTGCAGGAGCAGTGCTAGGTGACACACACGGCCACCACTCCAACCCGACACCTAGACATTCAACAATGAGAAATTTCATTACATCCGGTCGAGTGTTTTACAGACAGAAGCGCCGGGTACTGGGAGATCTTGTCGTGAGGGAAACTTACTCGACTTGAGTACCCTGCTCAGACTAGGGGAGAAAGCCACGTGTGGGAGGGTGGCAGAGCACAGGACAAAGCCTGGCTCCTGACCCTGAGGTGCCATGCGGCCCTCTCTCCCTGCCAACCACCCACCTCCAGACTTCGGTCTTGTGTAAGCCTCAGTTATTTTGCGTTTCTTCCCCCTGCGGCAGAACCGAGTGCTGGCGGATGCCCAAGTCTCCGGGGAAGCGAGGCTCCCTGTGCTGAGCTCTCCCCGTGCACTGGTCCCTTTGCAGCGCGTGTCCGGTTGTGATGAAATCATTTTGTAAAGAATTGTTTACTTAATCCTATTTATTATGATTATTTTTTAATTTGGCCAGAGAGAGACAAAGAGAGAAAGTGAGAAAGCAAGTCACCTGACCTGGAATTCGAACCAAAGTTGGCCATAAGGGAGTCCAATGCCCCAACCACCACACCACCTGCCGGCCCCAGTTGTAATAAAATTATGTGTTGCTTAAAAAAAGAATTATTTGTTTATTTCATTCCATTTGTTATTATTACTTCAAAGAGAGAGAGAAAAAGAAAGTGAGAGAGCAAGCCGCCAGGTCTGGACTCTAACTGCGGTCGGCCATGTGGGCATCCAGTGCCTTTAACCACCATGCCACCTGCCGACCCCAACCATATTGCTCTTAACGCAACATCACACTCCCAGAACCTAGCAGAAGTGCAGACATTAGCTGTAGACATTTAAGACTTGTGGAATACATGAATTAACAAGTGAGGAGTTGAGAACCAGCAGTTAGCGTAATGGCTATGTCGCTGGACTCCCACGTAGTTGGCCGCGGTTCGTGTCCCGGACCCGGTGACTTAAAACTCACGCTGGGCGCATGTGCGTGTGTGCCCAAGATCCCGAGAGGAGAATGGAGGAGAAGGGATTGCGGCATGGCCATCCCCCCTGGGGGGGTGATTTCTTGCTTTCTGTCTCTCTGTCTATCTCTATCTGTCTGGCGAGCGTGCGCGCCCTACAGCGAAAAACTTCTAC